GCATATTTGAATTTATTTATGTTTTAATTCTGAAAATACATACATACATAGGAAGTTATGAATTCTTTCCAGCAGATGCATTGATAGATAGTTAATACATGGTTTAAAAGTTATAATTACGACAAACAGGTTGTGTTAAAATAAGATTAATTGGCGTTGAAGTATAGCATATGCTAATTAAGTGTTCGCTGCTCGAGTCTGGTGGGGCATCATATTTAGCAATCTATTTAGCTCATTTTGGTGAAAATGTAGTTGGCATCATTTAGGCGATTCGGAAGAACATCCAATTAAATAATCATCAATCAGAGCCACTCAAACGTTAATTGAAAATTTGTCCTGGTAACGTGATTCAAAAAAGGCATGAGGTTTTTCTTCGGCTCATACATGGTTGTTGTGAAAATTCACTATTCCATCTCGATTGAAGCGTGCTTCATCAATAAACGAGATTTTATTAGTAAATGTTTGACTTATGCGGCATTTTTCTTGCAACGATCGACAAAAAATCTAGACTGGCTGGTAATCTTGTATTTTCAGGGCTTATACCCTCTGCATAATATGGTACAGGTACAGCAGCTGCTTATGAAAAATTTCTTACACAGTACTGTTTGGAATACCTTCTTGAACAACTAATCTTTGAACACTGATTCTGGGTTTATTGGCCTATTGGCCAATAGAGAGTACCGCAAGTTCTACAACATTCCCCCACCTCTTCTCTTATATCCCCCACCAATATCCGATTGGTTTCCGGGAGGAAGTGGTGGGAGGTACCAGAGAAGTGCTGGGGAATATTCTACAGCTTTTATTCGTAGGAAAGCTAGGAAATGTATCTATAATAATACCTCCTCTGCTTCTTCCTATAACATCAGTAATTTTTAAGACCACTTCCTGATATCTCCCAGCACACCCTCATACTCCTCCACATCTTCTTAATCGTTTTGTCAATGGTAATTAATTATCATCTCATACGCACACTCATACTCTTTGTAAGATTCTCTCTAACATAGATTATCCGAGTCCTGGAATTTTTATGATTTTTTTTATATAGCATATTTTAATTTATGAGACAGAAACTTCTTGAATAAACAGTGTCGTGAACTACTAATTCGTTACTATTTTTTCACATCGTCATTTCCAACTTCGTTTAAGTTTGCACGCACAGAATTAATCAGATGAGTATAGTTAATTAACACCTTATCAGATGATGGTTATCGAACATACCACTCCTTTATAAACATAATACAAGCGAAAAAAAAGATAGGTTAATGGGTAAATGCGTTAAGTATTCATCTAATTTGCTATTTAGATAAATGAAATTGATATAACAGTGAAAATAGTTCAGCTAGTAAAATTCACTAATGTGATGTTTTTTATTACAAAGCTGTACACGTGAAAAAGGAGATATCTATTTTCACTCGCACTTTTTAAATAAGTAGCCCTACTTACAGAAAATAAGGCGATGTAATTACCAAGTACAAAGATTTTAAATTAATAAGTGCTACAATAAGTCACACAAGAAAGTTGTATATCCCTTTCGAAAGAATATATCCGTTCATCGATTACAGCTCACACTGAAGCAGAATTTGGACAGAAACCGTTTAAAAACAAAATTGAAAAAATAACCATGCAGATAATAAAAAAATTCCTCTTCAACACAGGTATGACTATTAAAAATTGGTAATAGTAAAATCTTCTTTTTTGCAATATTTTACAAAAACAACAATAACGAACTATCTTTGAACATTTAAACAATTTTTGTTAAACACAAATACAAAATGGAACCCGTACTATATGAAGTACGCTAAGTATATAAGATACAATGAGTCAACATATATTTAATTTTTATGACAATTAATAAAACACATGAACCTCCACATTACATTTTGAGCATCATGTGTTTTTGCTCTTTGTTGACAGAAATCACACATTATTTGGTGTATATTGATATTCTGATTCGACCTATCGACTCCTCCCATGTTTGAATTAAACTGATGTACCACCTCTGACTGCTCTCGTTTCCGGCAATAAATCCTTTTTGGTGGCGCTTATATCTAACTACTAAAAAGTAACAGTAGTATAATCTGTCTTGAAATTCTGTACGAACATTTCTGAACATATCTGGAGTCAATAAACGGCATTCTCGAACAATTCTTTCACGTAACTCTTTCAGAGATGCGGGTTTTGTTGCAAATACCTTCGATTTCAAATGTCCCCACAGAAAGAAATCCAAGGGAGTTACATCGGGTGACCTAGCGGGATACTCCACAGGACCTCTTCTTCCAATCCATCGCTCAGGAAACCAATTATCCAAAAAATCGACGGACTGCTATAACAAAATGTGGGGGTGACCTATCCTGTTGAAAAAAATAGTTCACCCTCTAAAAGATTATCGTCTTCTTCGAGGATTTGGGTAATCATTGGGTCGATGTTTTTCTAACAGATCGAGGTACCTTTCGCCATTTAAATTGTCAGGAATAAAAAACGGCCCGACCATGTGTTCCCCTAAGATGTCAGCCCAAACATTTAACTTCTGAGGCATTTGGGTATGAGTTTCCATGAACAAATGTGGATTGGTTTCACTCCAATACCTACAATTGTGCCTGTTTAGCTCCCCATTTAACTGAAATGTCGATTCATCAAAAAAACACGTATTGTACAGTAGATTGACATTACCGTTTAATTGTTCACTAAAAATCTCACAGAATTCAAGCCGACGATCGGGATCATCTTCGTTTAATTCGTGTACCAATTTAAATTTATATGGATGAAATTTGTGGGCCTTTACAATTCGATGAGCACTGCTTCGTGATACACCGGAAGCCTCAGCTACTTTCCTGATCGACTGAGTATTATCCATCTGCAAATAACCCAGAACGGCCACTTCGACTGCTTCATTCCTAATCGGTCGCTGAGGTTCGTGCCTTTTATTTCCTACAGAACCTGTTTCCATAAATTTTGTCAATAATTGTAAAACATACTGAGAACCAACCCTTCTATCTGGGTGATTTCTATTGAATATGCGCTCCGTAGCTCTAGCACAATTATCGTTTTAAAAATAAATTCTGACAATTTATATTCTCTCCTGAAGGGTATAAACCATTTTGAGAACTCACTCTGGCAAAATGTTTCTCTATTTAAAATTGGTTGTGATCAAATTAATATTCAAGGACTGTCAAATATTTATGAGTCTTTTATTATTCTAAAACTAAATGGACAAGGAAAGTGTTTTTTATCGAAGAAACTCGTGTTGATTTGAGAGCACTAAAAAATGTAGTTTTTTTTAAATTCCAATACCCAGTGCTGTGTATTTTAGATTTTTTAAACGATTTCGATTGTGTGTAATCATCAAAAATAGAATTATTTTCCGTAAGAACGAATCAATAAAAGTTTAAAAAAAATACACAGTTATGTAGGGAATTGAAAGACCTTTCAAAAGATGTATCACTCGACCCCCCTGCCATTTGAATTTTTTGGGTGGGTGGTCGTGTAGGGTATGGAGGGATGATGATAGGTATATAAGTATTACATTAAAATATGTCCCCCTTGGAGACAAGGTCGACATGTTTCATAAATTTTTCAAAAAATTTGTATCTTCAAAGTTATCAGGGTGCCTACTTTTTGATTGGGACGCCATGTATATATATATATATATACATTTATATATATATATATATATATATATATATATATATATATATATATATATATATATATATACATTATTATATATATATATATATATATATATATATATATATATATATATATATATATATATATATATATATATACATTTATATATATATATATATATATATATATATATATATATATATATATATATATATATATATATATATACATATATTTCTAATAATTCAATATGTTGTGTCTTATTCTTTCCATTGCCTATTTTTTCTTTCTCCAAGAATCAGTCAAAAAAATCTAAAGAACAGTTCTAAAGAAGAAGGAGGCAAAAACCAGAAACCGGTCTACGCCGACCTCAATAAGGAATCACAAATGTTTGGTAAAATTTTTTACTAGTGGGCAATCACAATTACAACTTAAACGCTTCTCTTTGTAAATTTGTAAATCATCAAGAAGTATGTGTGGCAATTTTATTTAATCTTTAATTAAATAAAGTGAGAGAATTACAACTTTTGTACCCTATTTAGGTATTATTTTTAGTATTTATTACTATTTGTAAAAATTTCTAAATGAGTTTCCAAGCCTTCATCTAGAAAACATCGTTAATCCGGTAGAGGTGGCTTGAAAAAGTAAATCTTCTACTTAACTATAAACTTTCTTTATATTTGTCTCTTTGTGGAAACAGTACTCTTTAAAGATCTAGATAAAATATTTTGAAGTTCACATAAAGTAATTTCATCTTCAGATGAGTAATCATGGTCCTTTTCTTAATTCAACTATAGTTTGCAGTTGATATTCTGTTTATTCTCAAAAAATCTTCCTCGTCTAATCTTCAGTAGCCAATTCTGCACAGGAATTTTCAGACGAAAATATAGTAATTTCGTTTACATTTTCCTCATATTCTTCACCATCTTCTAATAAGACAAGCGCATCAGTCAGAGAAAAATCCTAGAACAAAATTTGTTATGGAAGAGACTTATATTTAACTATCGTATTTAGTACAGCACAAATATAAAATAATATAATACTGACAGTATTTATATCTATCACTACCAATTGATTAAAATTCAATATTATTTTAAATACAACAGAGGAATTGTTATTAAATCATAATAAAAAAATACGTACTTTGTAAGCCTATCATCTTGGTCTAACATTTCACTGAAATAGTATAAATTATCTCAAATTATTTAACTTTACTGTCACAATAAATTGTAGAAAATACACCGAAATTGAGACAGAACAGCAATGAATGCGTTTATACACTGCAATGCCCCGAACGTTCGAAATTTTTGCAGGTTAAAATTTGTTCTACCCGTACTACTAATAGTATAACAAAAAGTTTAAATTTTGGGGGCATGGTAGCCCAGTGGGTAAAGCGCTTATAGCTACCGAATATCGATGGTTCGAATCCATCCCGGAGCAAGCTAGAAATTTTATTTGTGATTTGTTTCGGATTAAGATGGATGAGGTAACTGTCGATGCCCTAGATGTGGTTCGGACTCCACAATAAATGTAGAGCCTCGTCTCTCTATACTCAACACAAAATCCTAGGATCATCTGGGAATTGCTTCGGTGACTTGAGAGGCGGTTAAGTAAACATTTTTTTTAAACTTGTAGTTGTGAATATTATAATGTTTTGTATTACATATGTACATAATTGTATGCTCAACATATTTTTATAGTAAAATATAAATTTAACGATGAAAAGAGTAAACGCTAGACATTTCTCCAATACGATGGCTGATTCAGCACCTGAATTGATGGGAATAATTTGCATGTTAATTAGAAAGACAATATGAACGTTTGTGCAAAAATTCAGCTTTGTGAGGATTAGTTCCACTTAAAAAGCGATTTTCCTGGACTTGAAGCGGTAGAGCTAAGTACGATCACTTTTAAAACAGATTAAACATACTTTATTTTAATTGTATAGATGATATATTTCAGCTGAAAACGGTATTTAAATCATTAATTTATTTCGAAAGGGTAAGATAATAATAAATCAAGCTTTATCGAGCCGTTTTTCTCAAATGTGCACATTAAAGTAGTTTTTGCATTTTTGTAAAAAAATATCCAGTTAACGAGGACTTTCTTGGGACGTATCCAACATATAAACGGAAATGTGGTTTGGAAAATAAATATTTTTCGTTGAGGAAAGTTGTCATTATTTAACAAAATTATTAATACATTTTTCTGTAAACATCGACTATTTACATTCTGGTTGCTTCAAAATAATGATATTGGTGAAAGGTAGTTACAATGATTATGTATGAAAACAAAACAAAAATAACAACAATTTAGGCGTTTAACGATTTAAAAGAAAATAGAAACCACAAAGCTACTTAGTAAAATTGTATATTTTGTCTGTAAAAAAAAATAAATAAAAAAATAATACGAGAAAAAGAAAATTCCATTCCAGCAAGTATTTTTGAATTAATTGTTGCTACTTTTGTTTGTTCAAAAAGCATAGTATTTTAGTTTTTCTCTTAACTGTGTCAAATGATAGTTAGTTTACTGGAAAAAATGTTCTAACTGTATTATATTTTTGATGCGTTGATGCAATTTTTAAGATTTAATAGCACTCTATTTACCAAACTGTTTAAGCATCAGATACATTTTCATGTTAGTATTAGACTGTCGTTTAGACTCATAATGGAAACGAGTACGTGATTCGCATGAATACGCACGTCTCGTCTATGCGAGATCAATCCCCACTGCTGGCTTTAGATATATTCTCGCACAGTTGCTGCAGACTGATTCGGTCTGCAGCTACTGTGCGAGAACGTATCCAAAGCCATCAGTGAGGGCTACCGCACTTGAGTTCACCACGAGAGGTGCTAGTGTAGAGTAAGGTCCATGCCACTGAACGTTAATGTTTACTATGGCTTTTTAACGCGAGGTTTTAGTAACTTTTATAGAAATTAGCTGAACAACATTTAACACAATTATGGCAGAAGGGGAAAGTAGTAATTTACTTGCTCAGTAGGGAAATTATTGTACCTATTAGAGGTGTCTTATGTCATTAAAGTTAGGTTATATCAAGCATGAGCATGATGAAAACAACGAATATGCATGATTACTACTCGTCAGGATTAAAATATTCCTTACAAACACACGAATGTTTCGAAGTAGTAAAGTTATCCCCGCGAATCGCTATCAACCACTGTTTTAGGCGAGCTTTGTTTCTCGGAAGCATATGTCCGCCTTTTGTTTCCGAACAAAGTGGAACTGCACAACACTGATGCATAATTAACAAGTTTTTTTATTTACTGGTGTACGAAATAATTATTAAAACCTTATAAATTTGTTCCGCGTCTAACAATAACTTTTGACAGCGACCTTATGAGCCTAAAAACGGTAGCCCTCGTTGGGATAGATCGCGCATAGACGTTCGTGTTCGTGCAAATCATAGTTCGCACGTATACGCTTCCACTTTGAGGCCTGCGAATAACAAGCAGCGATATACTGTGCTTAGAAACCGACTACGTTCTCTTCTGTCAGAGATTATTGCAGTAAAAAATGTTTGATCCTTTTTAAATATTAGAAAATACATTTTCTAATAAGAGGCATTTAAATTCTGTGAAACTGAAGTTGTAACCTTCCAATGTTGCATTTACGGACCAATTAATTGTTCTCCAAACCTTGCTCCTTCCTAACTGTGTAACTTTCGTAATGAAGCTATTTTCTTTGTAATTATTTCCTGTCGTCCTGAACGTCAAGTTGTTTTACTTTATTTTATTCAAACCTGTTTCACATCAATTTTTTCTAACATTACACGCCGTATAATCAGGGTTGCTGCACTCTGATTATAGGGTGTAATAATGTAGTACTTCATTCGTAGTAAACTACTTAAACTGTACGTATAATATTCCGGTGGCTAAAAAAATGTGCCGTAAACCGTATAATATTATACAGTGAAGTTCATTAGTAACGGATAAATTGATTATCTACGTAATTTATAATTTATGAGTAAAATCCTGAAACACGTCAAATTTTAATTCTAAAATAACATTTTTTTGAGCATAATTTTATACCTCCCCCTTCAACCCCCTTGTAGTGACAGCTTTCCCCTTTAAAAATTTTAGATGGAAGGAGAGTGCATGTGATAGCTCATTTGAAAGAGTTTTTAATTCTCTGTCCAGCAATATAAGATTTTTTGAATTTCTCTAATTTTTTTTATTGAAAACTGTTATATTTTTAATGTTACTAGTAAACAAAAGAGCATGAAACAGTTTAAATAAAATAGTCAATCTAGGTGCCCGTTGCTTCTTGACAATAATGGAGGCGTTGCTGAAATTCTTCTAAAACATTTTGTATCGTTTCCGGGGTGATTTAATTAATTTTTTGCCTTATTCTGTCTTTTAAATCATCGACGTTATTTGGTCTGTTGAAGTAGACTTTCAATTTTAAGCAACCCCTTCAAAAATAGTCAAACGGGCAGGCCACTCAATTTCACCGCGTCTACCGATCCACCTCTTGGGAAGAACTTAATTCAGATAGGCTCTTACTTCCAATGCAAAATGTGGTGTAGTTCCGTCCTGCTGATACCAAATACTTCTATCAATTTCATTAGGGTTGTCATCATCTGGGAAAGTATTTTTAACTCTGGAACTAAGAAATTTTGCAAAAAATTCAAGTAACGTGCGCCAGTTAATATGCTGTTGAAGAAATATGGTCCAATAATTTGAGAATTTATAATTCCAGCCCAAACGTTCACCTTCTCAGGATATTGAGTATTGGCCTCCATCATCCAATGTGAATTTTCTGTACTCCAGTATCTACAGTTCTGTTTGTTGACTGTTCCATTTAAGACGAATGTTGCTTCATCAGAAAAAATAATGTTTTTTATAAATAACGGATCATCTTGGCATCTACTTGCCATGATTTCGCAAAATTCCAATCGGTGATCAGGGTCATCGTCGTTAAATTCTTGAATAAAATGAATTTTATATGGGTAGTATTTTTCAATTTTTAAAAGACGCAATATGGACGTTTTACAACATCATTATTGGCGGCAACTTGTCTTGTAGGTTTATGTGGATTATCTTGAATATCTAACAATATATCCAATTTTTTTTCATCGTCTAAAATGCGTTTTCTATCAGATTTAGGAATAACTGTAGCATTTCCAAATTCACAAAATTCGTTTCTATTCTACTAACCGTAAACTGAGAAATGCGACAGTCAGGATGCTTAGTATTGATGATTTCGCATACCTGCTTCTGCGTTCTTGTTTTATCACCACATCCTAATAATATCAAAATTTCAATTCTTTGGGTAACTGAAAGACTCATTGTTAAAATAATGATCAACTTGACAATCAGCTATAAATAACTAGAATCATAAGTTTGCACAGATGTAGCAAATAAAGAAATGTAAATGTTTAATTTTTTTCTGATATGTAAAAAGAAACCCTTTTTACTTCGTTCTTTTTGTTGGGTATTTTGCCACCTGCGTACCAGAAAAACCGATACATTTAAATTGAATGTTATGACACAAAATGAATTAGAAAAGTCAGATTTGACAGATATTTGGTACATAGCCATAAGTAACATTTGATTGTATACATTACAAATACATTTTGAAATTTTCAAATTTAATTTTCTTGATGAAAAATATACAAATATCAAAAAATCTTATATTGCTGGACAGAGAATTAAAAACCATTTCAAATGAACTATCACATGCACCCTCATTCCATTTAAAAATTTTAAAGGGGTGGCTGTCATTCCAAGGTGGTTGAAGGGGAGGTATAAAATTATGCTCAAAAAATGTCATTTTAGAATTAAAAATTGACTTGTTTCAGGATTTTACTCATAACTTGTAAATTACGTAGATAATGAATTCGTTATCCGTTACTTATGGACCTCACTGTATGTAATTGGCAATTTAAGAAATTTCTGTAACATAAAAAAGATTGGTAAAGTTTGTTATGAATCAGTTACTTAATTTCTAAATATTTACCTACATACGATCGATCATTAAACATTACTTATTATAAAGAAGGTTTAGTGCCATAATCCCCAAAAAGAAACAATTATGCAGCTACGGACACGTGTTTCGGAGTTATTGCCCCTCATCAGCGTAGCGTAGCTAAGGAATTGGATCTAGGATGGGATAGATCAGGAACAAGAACTAAAATAAGGCTGGAAAGTACAGTACACAGTACTCAATTAGTGTCTTCATGTTCCCATGTGCCACATTTGGGGCCTCGATGAGCACAGTCAACACATAGAGCTCTATGTGTACTGCTCATTTCCACCTGGCACATACAAATAAAACAAGATAGATTTATTGGGGTTCAAAATAAAACAAAGAAGGTTTAGTGCCATAATCCCCAAAAAGAAACAATTATGCAGCTACGGACACGTGTTTCGGAGTTATTGCCCCTCATCAGCGTAGCGTAGCTAAGGAATTGGATCTAGGATGG